CTCCCAGGGATCCAGGARCAGCCACAGCTTCTTTGGGAACCTGTGCCAGGGCCTCCCCACCCTGCCAGCCAGGAATTCCTTCCCAATATCCTACCTATCTCTGCCCTCTGGCACTGGGAAGCCATTCCCCGTGTCCTGGCACACAGTGCTCCACACTTTGCCCCCGGAGGCATCCAGCTGACACAGGTAATGTTACACCTTCTTGTGGCCCAAGGAAAATCCCTGAGCAGCGTTTCTAACCTCTCCCGGGCATCTCAATTTCATGCGGAACAGAGGCTGCTGCCGCAGCCGGAACACACCAGATAAGCACATTCCCGGGGACTGTTCGGGGGCAGAGCCAGCAGCTCCCGGCTCGCTGCAGAGTCAGGACTGAGCACTCTGGAGCTCAGGGATGTCAGCTGGGAGAGCTGGAGCCGCAGGGCAGAGCAGCAGCTCCGGCAGAGCCCGCAGGCAGGAGCCGAATGCATCCACAGCACCGGGGGAATGCAAGGGCAGGTCTGAGTGAGCCGGGGTGAGCCAGCTCCTTCTGCCACCAGAAGAGCAGCTGAGCTAGGCCGGGTCTAGTCCCACCCCAGTTTTATCTTTCCCAGAAAACCAGAGAGCTTTCCTGCCCTCTGGGCCCCTCCTGGCCCCGGAGAGGATCTGGAGACAGCGGACATCTGAACACCCCAAACATGCACAGAAACATCACCTCAAAGAGCTGAGAGCAGAAATTAAACAACAGCCAGAGAGGGACGAGACTGAAGACCCTTTTTCAGTGTTTTTCTCTCCTTTCTGCTCGGAGGTGTCTGATCCAGGCTGGAAACGCAGGCAGTGGAGCCCCAMGGCGCTGACCAAACTGCCAGAGCCYGTTCACACATTCCCAAAGGCTGGCACATTGACTTTGTGCCAGTGACTGCTGCCCTCACCCTGYCCTCACCCTGCTCCAGGGACCACCTCTGCCCCCAGGGACCCGGCCCTGCTCCAGCTGCCACCAGAGCTCGGATTTGGGGACTTTTTCCACCGGAGCCTTTTCCGAGAGCATTTGGAATGTCCCCTCCATGCAGCCACAGGGATTGAGCAYCCCCAGTGCTGGGTGGGGTTTGTTCAGCTGACCTTAAAACAACCCCCAAAAATGAGAACAACCCCCATTCAATGAGAATGGATAAAAATACCCGTTAAAACCCCCAGCAGTCAGTCAGGGCTGATGTTTTCAAAGGCACAGGAGTACTTGAGGAACAGATTGGTTTATTTGTTCCAAGTAATTTACTTCCAAATGTGTCCCTGGATTCCCCATCCATTGCACTGGTGATACTGCAAAGGTGACCGGGAAGGTTTTGYTCCTTCCCCATACCCCACCRAACCCTGCCCTCTGGCAGAGGGATCCCAGGGGGGAGCAGTGGGGTGTCCCTACCCCCAGCAGCCCCCTGGCTCTGCATTCCCCTGTGGATGCACCACAGGGAATCTGCAGAGCCCCCTCCCTCCATCATCCCCCTCAGCTCTGGTAATACCCTGTCATGAGAGGAAAAAGGAAAAGCAGAGACTGCCAGGATTCTTCAAAGCTGCCCAAATTCTTGTATTTTCGTACCCTTCCCTCTCTCCAGGTGAAGCTGAAGCCCCAGGAGGATCCTGGCAGCCTTTCCTCAGGGCCAGCTCTCCCTCTCCACATCCTCCTGCAAGGCTCTGCTTCGTGCCAAGGAACTCCCTCTCATCCCAGCGAGTCACTGCTCCAGGGCCCACCGATTTCTCTCCTTTTTTACCTTTTAGCAGGAGTGGGATGTGAGAGCCGTCACAGCCCGGGGCTGCAGGAGACACCAGCAGCAGGGTCCCGGGCTTTCTGCCCGATTTCTCATCAGCACCACGCAGGAACACCAAAGGCCCCGTGCTTCCCAGGGCACCCTCCCACTCCGTGGCTGTGTGGAGGATTCAGCAWCAGCACCTCCAAAAACCTTCAACAGCTTGAGGGTGTCAGCCTGACGAGCTGAGATCCACACACAGAGCTGCCTTTTATCTGGATTTTCGGGAATTTGACAGCTCMAGACAGCTGCAGCTCAGAGCTCCTCCAGGAGAGAAGATGTCATTCCCTCCTAGGCAAGGAAAACGTGGATATCACCCCTCAGAAATCCAGTCTGTGCTGGAAYTCCTGGCTTCTGTCAGATCAGCTGCTGAAGGTCGTGCAGCATCACTGCACTCTCACTCTACAGACAAAGCCCTCCCTGCACTCCCTGCCAGAGCCTCCAATCCCCMCTTTTTCCCCCCAGCACCCAGAGGTGCTGCCCAGGCTGGGCTGGGGCTGCTCCCAACACCAGCAGGAGGAATTATTCCTGAATGGACAACTTCTGTTCCCTYCTCCCAGCAGGAGCTGGAAGTCTGGAGCACTTCACATTTGGAAGTTGGTCCACTGGGACAGAACTGAAAACCTTCTAAAGCCAAAACTTCAGCAAGTTGTACAGTGAGATAAGGGCAACCAGGAGAATGTCTGAACTCAAACTAATTCTTATCCCAGTCCTGATCCTCCTCAGACAGATCCCATCTCCCTCTGAAATTCCTCATTACCTTACAAAACTGTAACTTGATGCCCTGCTGAGAATKTTTAAATCTTCTCCACTGTATTCTTAAAGTATATAAGCAAAATCCCCCACACTTAATGAAGTGTAAAACTAATTATTATGAAATAAAACTAGCTGTTCACCGAGTGGAAAACCAGCCCATTTTCATGTCCTATTTTCCTTTGCAATGTATTCCCTCCCCTGCTCTGCAAATGTAAAAATAAATATCCCTCCCAGCATCGTGCTGCCTCRGAGGCTGGAGCCCACCAATGAAAACCTGCACAATTTAATGGCCCTTAAATGCTCAACATCTTTTTCCCTTCCTGTAAAATCCATCTGACCTAATGGCTGTGACAATTATGTGTATGGCTTTCCTATTAAAAGGTAATTTTCTGAGTTGGCAGAGCAACACAGGCACGAGATGACAAAAGCAGTAAACTCCAACTTCCCAGCATTCCGAGCCATTTCCAAGTCAGCTCCTCAAGACAAAAAGGCAAAATTCCCTTTCCAAAGAGCTGTTACACAACGGAGCCTCGTGCCAGCAGCCAGCTCCAGGCTCCATTACCTCGTTAATGTGGCCTTGCTGTTCCAGGGACGGMGGAGCCTCTCTGGTTGCATTTGACATTCCAGTGACCTCCCATTTCCTCCTCTCACTCCTGGCCCTGGATGTGGGACTTTCACCAGGGAGGGGACAGCTCACRGATGGCTTTTCCCAACACATGAACCGTCCCTGCCCTGGGAATGTCACTGACACAGCCACAGCCCAGATTTAACCTTCACCTCCATAAGCCCATGGACCCAAACACCCCCAGATTTATGTCCAGCATTCCCAAGGCACTTATTCATTCCAAGAGCCTGGAGTCACCCCCATTTCCCCAGGATTCAGACAATCCACACCTGAAGCTCAAAATACTTCTGATATTTCTTTACCTCAAACAGAATTGACCACTACAATACCAAAAAAAAGAAGAAACCATTTTATTGATGTTGTAGTATGGGAGAGATTTAGAAAAACATACCTAGAACTCCCTGGATAAAGAAACACAATATCAAAATAGGATGGTTAGTACAACAAAACAAATCCTCTCCACTAAGTTTCAAGTAATGCAATCATAAAAGAATTTGGCTAAAAAGGAACTCTTKACTCTGAGATGTTTTCTGTAATAGTCCTCTAAGAAACTAAAGGAAAGCAGCAGTAGATCTGTTTAACTACAGACACGTATTTAGTAAATATATTAAGGGTATTTCTATATAAAAACTGCCCTGCTCATCCATCAGTGTCTGGAGCCTCCATGTGGCCTCTTCAATCCTACAAGACTCTGCCCAAAAAGAGACAAAAAAGGAGATAAACATAACTCTGCTGTAAAAAAGGAGCCCAAGGCCTGGAGGGGCAGCTGGGGGAGCCCAGTCAACACAAAGCAGAGAACTCTGACTTCAGCCCTCATTTTTCAGGAATATGGAGAGGAAGTYTGGCTTTTCTGAATCAGGATGCCACATTCCCATTAGTGGCTATCAGTGGAGGCTTTTAAGAAGTACACTGAGGTCAGCACTCACTGGGGCTCAATTCAAACAGCCCCATTAGTTATCAGGTCATTTTTCAATGACTTCCACTGAAAAATACCAAATTTCATGTTTTCTTCAATAAAACTTCCTTTGGAAGCCATCCTTCAGTTAAAAATGAAACCTCGTTGCATGGGGAGATTCTAGCAATGAAAAATTCTCCTTTCATTAATCCTCACTATTGGCACCTCCCCCCATAAAKAAGATTAAAGCACATCATTTCCACCTCAGACCTCCATGAGCTGGTGTCTGAAAATCCAACCCCTGAAGTGCCTCGTGTGCAGCTCAATGAGCTGCTCAGTGCCACCCTAACGAAGGCCTAATGAGGAATGAAATCATGCAGCACTGGGGTCAAACTGCTGCTCCCCACACCAGGCCACTCCAGTGCCACTCCTCCAGCCTGCAGGAGTCAGCATTAAAGCATTCAGGAAAAATCTGGGGCGAGGGGGGAAGGGAGTGTTAGTGTTTGGATGGAAAACCTGATTTTTACGTCTTGTAAAAGCAAAGGCACTAAATCTTAAGCTTATATATTAAATAAAGGCTGTAACTTGGCCAGCCAAGTTACAAGAGACACCTGAACACCTTCCTGTGTGTGTCACAGCACATCCTGCTCAACCAGTGGGACAAATGAGCCACTTAATCATTAAGGGACATCTACAGCTACAACACTCAGCTCCTCTGCACAGTTTATTTTTAACCACCCCGTGAGAGTTCAAGGATCAACTGGAGTTTCTGGGTATAGGCCCTGCTTGAGTAAGTGGTCAATCAGACATTAAAATAATTTAACCTCTATGTCATCATTTTGACAGTTTTAAAAGATGCTCTACACCTTTTACCCATCTCATGAAAAGTGTCAGGCCTGAGACACTGTAGCGCTGGTTTAGTGTTTTATGAGAAAAAAAATGCTTCAGCTTTGTGAGTTGTTTCATATTTGGAGGCTGTAATTGCAGCTTTATCACAATAATTAATTTAATGTCAGCATAAAGCCCCTGAAGGCTGCCACAAGCACAGCACCCATTCACAGCAGCCCTCGGGAGCACRTCAGCAAACCAGGCCCTGCCTCATGCGGATGATCTGCAGCAGGGCAGCCTGGACATCTTCATCCATGTGGCCCTGGAGGAGCAAACACAAGTCACAAATGCTGAAAAYGCCTCCAAGCACCAACCACCCACTCCCAGCATCAGCAGATCCTTCAACATCACCCCCAAGTCCTAACTCGTGTTTTCACTACTTTGCTACAATCTGAAATACTTGAGGGATCCTGTGTTTTTTTCCTCAGGGACCTCTCTGACAGAGCATCTTCCTTTCTGAAAACTGATGTGGGRAAAAATGATGTCCTAAACCATTCCTGGATTCCCTGATGGCCTAGGCTGAAGCAGAATCAAGAGCATGCTCACCCCAGTAAAACTCAGCCATGGTAGGGGTTGGTTTCCTGGTTGGATCCGTCTGTTCTAMATTTAAAACCCCCTACATGGAAACAGGTCCTTGATGCTCATTTCAGCCTTATTTGAGGTCACAGAATCATGGAATATCCTGAGCTGGAAGGGACCCACAAGGATCATGCAGTCCCAGCCCCGTCCCTGCACAGACACCCCAAAATCCCCACTGTGCATCCCTGGCAGCGCTATCCAAACACTCCTGGAGCTCTGGCAGCCTCGGGGCTGTGCCCATTCCCTGGGGAGCCTGGGCAGTGCCCAGCACCCTCTGGGGAAAGAACATTTACGTGATCTCCAGCCTGATGCTGCCCTGGCCCAGCTCCAGCCACTCCCTGGGTGCTGTCCCTGATCCCAGGGCAGAGATGGAGCTGCAGCCCCCGGTGAGATCTCCCCTGAGCTCCAGCTGAACTCTCCTAGAGCCCTCAGCCACCCAACGGTCCCCAGTCAGAGAAGTGTCCCAGGAATCTCTCACACACAGAGCAGAGAGCAGAACAGGCTGCCCTGGCACAGCCATACCTGGACAGCGCTGAGCAGGTGTGTCCKGTACACCGAAACCACCTCCTGGTGCTGCCGTTTGGCATCCTGGGAAGAGAACGGGGACAGGAGGTGAAGTCCTCTCATTTCCCATATCTGTTCCTGCCCTTTTCCAGCTCTGTGCACCTGATTTTGGGCACTACCGAGATCACAGGATCACAGAATATCCTGAACTAGAAAGGATCATCAAAACCCAGCTCCTGGCCCTGCACAYTGATTTCATTACCAGCACCAACCATCCAATTTAAGAACACTTTGCTTTATAAGATTCAACCCTGCAAATACTCTGACAGATATACTTGTAAATCAGTGCAGGAGCAGSAGAACTCATTTTGCTCAGACACATCTTTAATTATGAGCTGTAGAGAAGTCACAAGGGTCACAAAAGTGTGGACAAAATCCCAGTACTCAGGATGTGTCCCTGCTCTGTCAGTGCTCCATGATAAAGAACACATTAAGGGCTTGCAGGCACAGGAACACAACTCAAAGCCATTAAGAAATTACCACCTCAGCCTTTGAAGGTGAGAAAAAAACACAGGGTTGGGTTTCTGTAAGAAAATACTAAAGTTGAGCCTGCATTCAGAAATGGTCTTGGCAGGAATRTAGCAGAGTATCTCAAACACAAATTCTACTTTGCTTATATCCTTTTTATCTGGAAAWGTTGCCAAGTGTTGCAACTCAAACTACAGAGGAAAGCAGAAAGATTTACAGAGAAGCAAGAACTCAGGGAAAAAAAAAAAGCCCTAAAATAATGGATATTGTACTTGTGAAGTGTGAGGCTGCAGCCACAGCCCCTGCTCCAGCGGGCACATCCAGATTTCCCTGTTTATACAAGGAATTAAGCAATGCTACTGCAATTCAGACAACACCTTGTGTGAGCACTTACAGCCAGCTGCTGCTGGAGTGTTTTCACTTGGCTCTGGAGCAGTTCCACCTGCTGGTTGTGCCTCTTGGAGGGGATCCCAGTGGTGTATGTCAGCTGGGACAGGCCGTTGAGAGCCTGCTTTAACCGCTCCACGTCGTTCAGCAGCTCTGTTATCTTTAAAAAAAAACCCACAGAAAACATCATTTAAAGATGTCTCACAGAAATCTATTCTCTGACATTCTTTCAAGTCTGATGAAGCGCAGCAAGCCTTGAAAGGTCTCTGTCCCAGCTTGCTGAGAAAGGATTTTATTTCCCYGACAGGCTGCTCCCATTGTGTTTCCTGGCACTGGGAGATGTCAGGTACAGACCCTGCAGGTCAGCAGTGACATAAGTGACTGGAAAAAGGGAAGATCTAAGGACATTRCAGGTCTCACTTCTAGGAGGAACAGTGAACCTTACGAGGCAGTCAGAGATGCCCAACAAACACAGCTCCAACTGAAGGAGGAGTTGATGCCCCCAAAACTCTGAACCTTTAACAGAATTTAAATACCACACAACATCCAAAACATACATGGGGTTGGAAAAACTTTGCATAATGCAAAGCCAGGACTTAATCTGGTTTGGGCCAGCCCTGGGTACCTAATGCCCAGCACAAAGTAGTGCTGGAACACCTCAGGAGCCACATTGGCAGCCTAGCCCCTGAATGCCAAGCTGAGAGCATCAGCAGCAGGAACCCCACGTCCCACCTTGTTGTCCTTGGCTTCCACCTGCTTGGCAGATTCCTGGATTCTCTTCTGCAGGTCCATGATGGTTGTCAGCGATTTGTCACACCTTTCCTTCTGGTCCTTGATCTCCTGCTCGATGCTGCAGCTCCKCAGCTGGAGCAGCTCCTTCTCGTCCTTGAGGGCCAGCTCGCTCCTGCGGGCCTGCCGAGCCTCCTCRCAGGCCTGCTCGTATTTCTGGCTCACGGTGGCCAGCTGCCCTGCCATRTCACTGACCTGTGCCTCCAGGGCGCTCTTCATGGAGCTGTACTCCTCCACGGCCGCCGCYTCCCGGCCCTGCAGCTCGGCCACCACCTGCTGGCTCAGCTGCAGCTCCGCCTGCAGCCGCAGCACCTCCTTGCTCTTCGCCTGCGCTTCTGCCTCCTTTTYCTTCAGGCTGCATTTGACGGCTGTGACTTCTCCTTCCAGCATTTCCTTCAGCTGGGTATATTCCACCAGAGGCACCGAGCTCTTGTGCAGCTCAGCCAGCTCCTGCTGCAGCTCCTGKACTCGGAGCGTTTCCTTGCCATAAYTTTCCTCCTTCCTGCTCAGRGCTTCCCTCAGCTCCTCCACGGTGTGGCCGAGGGCCTCCCTCAGAGCACCCACATGCTCAGCTGGGAGCTGCTGAGCCAGGGGCTGGGTGGCCGTGTCCTGCTGCTCCTCCTGCCCCTGCTGGCCCGTGCATTTCCTCAGCAGAGCCCTGAGCTGCACGCTGAGCTCCTCCATCCCGCTSACACACAGCCGCTCCAGCTCGTGMGACTTCTCGGCCAGGACGTAGTTCTGCTGTAGGTCGTTCTGGATGGACTGAACCCCACTCCTCAGCTTCTCATTCTCCTCTCTGCACCTCTGCGCTTCCTCCTCACTTTCTCTGCACCTCTGCTCCTGTTCCTGCAGCTTTGCCTTTAATTCCTTCACTGTGGCTTCAAAGCTCTGCTCTCTGTCCTCAAAGGAGGCGACTGGGGCGTATTTTGACTTGATGCACTCCTGAATTGTGTCCAGCTCCTTCTTCTGGGCTTCAATTTCTGCATGCAACTGTAAGATTTCATCCTGCCCCCTCTTATGCTCAGCCTTAATGGCAGCATTGTTCTCCTCCAGCTCTTGCATGCTTTTATTTAAAGTATTCACTGTTGCTTCATGATCCTTTAAACTCATATACTCAGTTTTTAATTGGTTCTGTAAGAGTTTCACCTTACTTTTCAAAGCTCCATTTTCCTCGTTTACCCTCAGGAACTCTTGCTTTATCTCTCCAATTTTCCCCTTCAGATCTGACAGCTCCCCATTGGTTTTTTCCAGGGTGCTGTTGAGGACAGTTTTAACCTCCTCGTGGGTGGTGGCCAGCACRTACTGATCCTTCAGGGTCTCCCTCAAGCCTGTGTTCTCAGTCACCAGTTTGCCTACTTTGGCTTGTTCATCATCATATTTCTTCTGAAGCTCAGCAAGCTGCTTTTCAAGCTCAATCCCATTAGATTTTAAAGCTTCCACCTCCTTTTTGTGCTGCTCTGGAGACAGGTACACAGCTTGGAAGTGGCTGATATTCTCACTTAAGTCATTCTTCTCTGCCAGCAACTTTTCAGCTTCTGCTTTGCTTTCATTGTACTTCTTTGTTATTTCAAAAAGCTTTTTTGTCAGGTCACCCACAGCCAGATCGTTTGTTTTCTTCAACTCTTCATGAATTTTTAAAGGCACATTCTGGCTTTTAATTTCAGTTTTTAGCATTTGGACTTGCTGCTTCAGCACCTTGTTATCAGCCTGCCATCTTTCAAGTTCCTTCTGCAGAGTCTCATTCTTCTGTGATAGCTCAGAAATTGCCTTCCCCAGTTCCTCCTTCCTTTGCTCAAAGCCACTCCTCATCTGCTCGTGCTCCTCCGGCCTCACCCGCTGTGCCAGCTGAGCTCTCTGATTCTCAGAYTCCCTCTGTAAAAGCACAACCTCTGCCTGCAGCTTCTCCCGCKCCCCCTCCACCTCTGCCAATTTCCTTGCTTTCTCATTCAGCTCATTTGACAGCAAACTCTTCATGTTCTCAAAGGTCTCTGCGCTCACAGACTGGGCCAGTTTGGCTGCTGTCTCTTTGAGCTGCCCTTCCAACTCTGTGACATTCTTGCCCCTTTTATCTCGCTCCATCTCCAACTTTGCAAGTTCCTTCTGCAACCTTTTGTTTTCCTCCACCAGCGTTCCCTCGTCCCTCCTGAATTCTGCCACCAGCAATTCGTTCTGCTTGATCTGGTTCCTCAGTTTCCCCACCTCAGCAGAGGCTCCCTCGTACTTGGTTTTCATCTCCTGGAGCTGCTCCTTGAGCTCCTCCGTCACCTTGGAGTTTCCCGAGGCCACTTCGTTGGTCAGGTGATCCTTCAGAGCCAAGAAGTGGCTCTGCATTTGCTTCACTTTGCCCTCAGAATCGAACATTCTCTTCTGAACATCCTTCAGAGCATCCTCCAGCTGTTTGATCTGTCTGTCAGACTCCACCTTGGTTCTCTCGCACTCTGATGCCAGAGCTTTGCATTCCGAGGCCTTCAGGGACAGCTCCCTCTGCAGTTTGCTGATCTCCTCCTTGGCTGCTCCAAAGCAGCTCCTCAGGTTATCCAGCTCTTTCTTTAAAGTTTCCTTCTCTGAACTGGATGATTGCGTAGGCAGGGAGAGCTCCAGGGGCCTCAGCATAGACCTGGACTGAAGGCAAATTGGCACAAAAACCACATGTTCACAACTCTGATAAGTCACATACATATTTATTATTTATTAGTTAATACAGGAACTGTCATACTGTTTCATTCAATATGAGAACTGTCTAAAATCCAGATTGATCTAAACACATATTGTCCARGAGATTTTTTTTTAATTAAAATCACACTAAATTATTCTTGCCCATATTAGAGAACAGGTATTTCTGCTKTTAACAGCAAAAGTCTTGAATATAGCTCCACATTACTGCTTCCCAATCCYRGAATGGTGTGAGTTGAGATGGRTSTTAAAGCCCAGCCAGTGCCACCTGTGCCATGGCAGGGGCACCTCCCATTGTCCCAGGGTGCTCCAAGCCCTGTCCAACCTGGCCTTGGACACTTCCAGGGATCCAGGGGCAGCCACAGCTTCTCTGGGCACCCTGTGCCAAGGCCTCACCCCCCTCACAGGGAACAATTCCTTCCCAATATCCCACCTAAACCTAAACCTCAGGGTGCAGGTATGGTGTATGAATTCCACTTCCTTGTTCTGCATTCATATTTAATCRCTCATCTGCTAGAACAAATTTAATTTATTAAGATATTGTTCCCATCCCTCAAGCATGTAAAAATAATTTTATAAGGAATCAGAACAGAGAATGTCATGGTTAACAGACCCTTCTTGCTGAGAAGAGTGAGGAATGCAATCAYTTGGAATTCTAGAGGGGTCTGGGATGTGTTACCAAATGGACCTTAAAGACTATCTTGCCCTACCAAGGTGGACCTTTTTTATATCCAAATGGCTACTTTAAAAGGCTGCTAGCTATCAAACAGAATTGTCATGGAATTATCATATAGCAGGCAGGAAAATGAAATCTTCTGAATATTAACTGAATTTAAATTAGAAAAATATTATGGAGAAGAACCCCCAGTTTCACACTGTGACTATGTAAAACACATTCAGGAGAGCTCATAACARACCCAGCAGCTCCCAGCATTTACAGCCCTGTCACAGACAGGACTCTAGAGGGCACCCACAGTTAAAAATAAACATGGAAAAGCAAGAATTTCTCCGAACTATGTGTTCAGAAGTAATGCTCAGTAAACACACATTTATAAGCCCGTTTATCTTTCCCAGTACAACTATCTCAGAATTCCTTCCAGTGGTAAAATATTTATTACCTGGGATTCTACTGCAAACGCTTGGCCTTGTTTAAGTAATAAATCTTCTTTTCCTGCATTTTCAAAGCAAACAATGTTTAGGCTCTGGTTAAAAACAGCAACACGATCACAAGAACACTGATTTTCCTGCCTGGCTTTATTTCGGTCACTGGGGCCAKGCTCAGCTGAAGGCTGGTGCTTAAGTACTTGGTATTAAAACAACTTCTACTTCATTAAGCCCCACAGGAAGCCTGGCCAAAGCCCTCCYAAGGAGGAGGGGAAAAGTGGTTTGCCAGGCTGGTTCTGGTCCTGCAGRAGGGTCACAGCTGGCACCTTGCCCAGATCCTGTCTGCACGTGACCGCAGCAGGAAAAGCATCCCCTGCACTCCACATCCACGACTGCTCCTGCCAGGCAGCCAAGCACTCCAAATATCCTTTCATCAGTCAAGAGCCCTTGTGTTACACAAGTGCAAGGCAGGTCTGCAGCTGGGCTGGATGCAGGAGACTCCAGCTGCTGGCAGCAACATGAGCTCAGGTCGTGTGCTCACAGTCAAACCCGCCCCACTGCAGCTCTGACACCACTCCCGCCCCTCAGCCAGGCAGGAGCACTGCTCAGGCTGTGAGGATGGAGAGGGCAGCTCTGTTGGGAGCATGRGTCCTGCTCAGCCCATTTTTCATGTTAGCAGAGGACACAGCAGAGTCCCCAAGCACATTTCCCAAAGCCAGGCACTCCTGGCAAATGATCAGTGGTGCCCTGGCAGCTCCTACAAAAGCAGCTCTGCTCTGCGGGCTCAGGGGCAGACATGAGGCGTGGCTGCATTTCAGACCAGCATCAGGAAGAGATGACCAAAAGCCCCTTTGTCCAGGAATTCTAAAACTGCATTATGCACAGCAAGCTTTGACAATTAACTTAAGAATTAATTGTACTCACTATTTCCAAAGTTACCTCCAGACCCCGCAGAGTCACCCTAAAATCAAACAGCAAGAAACAAAAGTAAAGCTGAAAATTCATTTCAAATTTTTGCTTTATGTTAAACTAGGGATGAAGGGGCAGGGAAAGCTTTTACAGTGAGATAACCACTCAACACTTTCAGCAATTTATAATGCTGAAGTATTTCCTACTRTAAATATCAATTGCTGTATCACATTTCAAATCACTCAACGTACTTCATAATACTTGAGTTTAGCTTTGAGAGCTTCAATAGTCCTTAAACTTTCTTCCTGTTGCTTTTCCTTGGTAGTCAGGATTTTCTTCAACTCATCTTTCTGAAAGAGAAGGAGTGCCACATAGCCAAAGCCACAAGAAGGAACAGGTTTGTAAGACCTCAAGCACCTTTTTCAGGAGTTTAGACAGAACTTCAACCAAGATCAGCACCGAAAGAATCCCTACTTTTTGGATTCTGAAGTTTTTCCCCAAGACTGCTCCTCTACAGGAGGAGTCTTGCAGAATGAGTCAAGAATATGCACCAACATAATTGGCTACTGCTCAATTAATTCATATTTGTTAGTCTTGCATTACTGAAAGTCACTAAAAAGATGCCTAAGATTGTAAGTATACTTAATAACCTGAGTGTGCTTTAAAGGAGCCACAGGAGCGATACATTATTTGTAGGAACAGAAATGCTGAGGAGCTGCATAAACTAATCTAGAGCAGCAGATACTTAATTTAGCATTTTTAAGTAGCTTTTAAGTAATGTATTTAAAACTACAGAGGAAATAAAAGAGAAAGTTGTTTCCCCTACKCCCCAGTCCTATCACACCTGCAGGTGACACATCCTACCTCATTCTCAAGATCATCTGCAAACATTTGCTCCTGCAAAAATAACACAAAAATCCCCCCCAGATCATTTTCTTAGTGATGTTTAAGGGGCTCATACACAGTACATCAGCTGACAAATCCACCCCAGGTTCTAATGCTCCCTTTCCAGTTTCCATCCAGCTTYATTTCTCAATTTTCTTTATCTCTCTTGCCAGGAGTGAAGGATGTCTGACAAAGCAATGTCTCTGGAAACTGAAGTATCTCCTCAATTCTCTAACTCAGACTCTACTGAGGCAGCAGAGCACAGCTTTTCAGAAGTTTGCTGATTTTGGGAAGTGACTATTAAGAAGTTTGTTTTATAAAGGCAATGCTTAAAACAGGAGCTCAGACAAGACAGTGACTGCACCAAGAAATATTATTTCTATCCATGGGTGACATTTAGGAAAAGCTGCAGAAATGTACCTCTACAAAAATACAGCAAAGAAACACCCTCCACAAAGCCAAAAACAACAAAAATCCTGTCTATTTTCTTTCATGAGGTCATATGTAGACCTCCAAAAAGAGGACATTTTTAAAAAACAACATTTCAAATTTGGATGAGAAATTTCTGATGAAAACCTTTGGTTTTGTTTTCTTGCCAACTGAAGATTTTTTTTTTTTCCTCAGGGCTTCCACTTCCAGTAACAGCTGGAAAATCAGCTGATGACAAGGCACTGCCACAGAGCACCTACATTTAATTGGGAGATGAAGTTCAGTCTCCAAATTCCAGTACCCCAGAACAGCCCATGGCTCAGCTGCACTGGGAGGCAGAGCCACAAATACTGTGGCTCACATTTCTGGGTGTCAGGGAATGACACCACATCGGGCAGTGATACTCAAATGATGAAGAAACAAGACCAAAGGCTTTTCCAGCAGAAAATGAGCGACACACATTGCAGCAATTCCCAGGAAAGGAATGGAGACCACATCCTAATTCCATGTGCTTTCCTTGCTGCCTCCCCTGTCAGCAGCAAGTGGTTATCCCAGCTTTCCAGCCACATATTCCAAACTTTACTTTACCTCACTCAGCTGCAGCTGTAACCCACTGATTCTGTCCAGCAGCATCCTCTGCTCCTCCTGCACTTCTCTCATTCGATCTTTCAAATCTTGATTTTCCAACTCCAAGTCCTTAAAAGTCAAACATTAAATTAAAAAAATATAATGAAAACCCCCCACACTACACGTACATTGAGAAAGGTGAAGATTCTGAACCAACATTTTTGACAGCCACTGAAGACCCCAAGCCCTGCCTAACCTTTTGAAAACTGCAATGGCATGGGAATGAGATGGGAAAATTAATGTTGGTTAGTAGAATAATTATGGCAGATTATTTTTAATATGACACAAACATGCAACTCTTGAAAATGTTAAAAAAAAAATCTCCCTGGTTTGTGAGTCTGATTTTACTGCAGAAGGCAGAAGGTTAAGAGGTAGGAAAGGTTAACACAGGGACACTTGCAACTGTTTATACACAAAAAAGTGCAATTTTTTCCTGAAAAAGTTTACAGCTCATCTGCATAATTGCCACACTGCACATCAYGCAATTAGGTTTTAAGTGAACAGCAAGATATGACCTTTGTTGATGGGATCATTAGTGCTCACTTCAGCAGCTCAGCCTGTCTTTAGTGCCTGTGGCTCATTATCCTGTGGGAATCCACAGGGCCCTGGGATGCTCCCACCCACCTGAGTGCTGGGGTCCTTCTGGTACGGTTTGACACTGAGCTCCTCCTGTGCTCCATAGCCCCGGCCCCACTTCTGGGACATGCTGGTGACCTGGCAGTACAGCAGGAAAATATTCCCTTTATATCCCTGCTGTGCCCTGTGCCYGTGCCAGCTCCCTCCCAGCCTCCCCAGGGAGCAATCCTCCCAAATTCCCATTCTGACAGGATCACCCAGGACCTCACCCCCACACAAACGGGAGCGTCGTCCAAACTCTAATCCTGAATAGCCCCATCTGGAATATTCTCCAACCAGAACCAGCCACACCATCTGATTACAGAGGGGACCTTCCCAGCCAACAAATGGAGTTCATTCAGAAAATACTGATGTGGTTCTGTGTCACAGCACAATCCTGATCCCACCGCCCGCCCCGGCTCTCAACATCACAATGAGAAATGGCCTCAGGGGGTACCTTCTGCTCAGCCTGCCCTCTCTTCATGCTGTCCCTTCCTAGAAAAGCACCACAAAAATAGGAAGTTACAAAAGGCATTTCATTCAGATTCATGCAACAGTGCAACACATTCAGCTAATTCTATCCCCTTTCCATCCTGGGAGGGCATTTAAAAAAAAATAGCTCACCACACCCCCAATTAATCAAACATGGAAACATTCACAAGTTTCTCTATAAAATAAAGGCTATTTATTTCTATAAAGCAAAGGCTGTTTATTTCTGTAAAATAAAGGCTATTTATTTCTATAAAAAAAGGCTCAATAACTCCCTGATCAATACTGTTAAGCCCTCAAGGCATCAAAGCCTGCATTCCCCTTAAAAGCTTTACTAAACCCAAACAACCCCTGAAAGTGCCTTTCCCCTCCTAAAGAGGCAGTTTATGACCTTGGTGGTCAAAGGTCACAGCTACCCTCCAGCACAGCTCCTGGAGACACAAAAAGAGGGAGACAATTCCACCCAAAGCAAAGTGTTGTCCCAAGTTCCTCCTACCTTTGCCGGAGTCCTCAATGGCAGCTTTTATTAAAGCCAAAATGTCAATATTGTCCCCAATTCTGGCATAGTAAGCACAGTCATGCCCAAGGCCATCAGTCAAACCAACATCAGCACCATTCCTGAGCAACACCTCCACGGCATCCTTGCAGCCATATTCACAGCCTAACATTAGGGCAGTCCTGGCATGGGGAGAGAGATGGGATTGAGAGATCCAGGGAGCCCAYGGAGCATCATTTACAGAGCTAATCCCTGATACATCCATGTCTAATCACAGAAACTTCAGCCAAGGCACCTTTCCTCTATCCACAGAGGAAACAGCTTTCAAAAGTCACTTAGGCAGTGTTTAAATATTTTTGAAAAAGCAAACAACCCCACCGTAATAGCAGTATTTCCAAGAAAGCAGCGCAGACGTACAGCCTTTGAGAGCCACCCAGTGTTTGGAGAACTCCCATGGCTTTGGTTTCCTCTCTCAGATATAAATCTCAATAGACACAACAAACACCAGTCAAGGAGTTTAGACACGGTCTGGAGAGGGGGGTGTCTGGGAGCCCTGGCAGTGCAGCCGTGGCAGCGCTTCCCAAATGCTTCCCAGTCGCAGGACATGCAATGTGAAGTAGCCAGGCTTTGTCCCATGGCAGCCTCACACCATGGAAGAATTCTCCAAGAAATCAGTGGCAAAAGAAGCAGCTACAAACAGAAACCCCCCTCCCCTGACCCCAGAAATAAACACTCCAAGGTTCCTTGGGAGCTCCAATGGACACAGGACTTCTGGCCAGAGAACCACTTTTGCCATGGGCCATTTTGCACAGTGATTCCAAAGGCTGCTCTGGACAGACAAACCCTCCAAACAAGCAAGTGCAGGTTCCCTGCTGGCAGCAACAAGCCTGGGACTAAMCTGGATGCAAGCAGGAGCATTGAAAAAGGCCAGGTTTATCTGCASTGTTGAACTGGCAGATCCACTACTGAACTAAATCCCAGCTTCTCTTCCCCCAAATTCAGCACATTTATTCTGCCAAGGGGCAGGTTCCCTTCCCATGCCAGCAGCACTCCCACAATCCTGGGCAGGCCTTACCTGTTCTGTTTGTCCCTGGCATTGACATCTGCCCCCCTGTCTATGAGCAGCTGGCAGACCATGGGGCGACACATCTGAGTGGCCAGCACCAGGGGTGTCCTCCCATCCTGAGGGACAAGGGGACAGGTGAGAGAAGGTGGGGGAGGCARGTGAGGCTCAACAGCTTCAGCAGGGCTTTGCAGGAGCAGGGGAGGGCAGTCCCTTACCCCGTCCTTGGAGTTGACGACAGCACCGTGGTCACACAGCAGCTGGATGCTGGCAGAGCAGTCRGACATGGCTGTGCAGGGAGCAGGAAGGCAGGTGAGAGCAAGGAAATCAAGTTACCTGTGAGAGCAGCTTGGGGAAGTCCCACACACCTCCCTGGGTGGATCTGTTCCACCAAAATCCCCAGAGCTGAGTCACAGCCTGACAGGGCTGCAGGGCTCAGCTCTCACACCACCCAAAGCACCTCAGAGAAATCAAACACTGCTGTTCCAGACTCTGCAGTGTGAGGAGGGTGCAGCAAACCCAGAGTAAAGGTGTCTTAACCTACTCACAGCATTGCCCTAAAACTCTGTGGTAGCTGAAGATTTTACTGGAAAATTCACTCAGAAGAAACTCTCAGAGTTACAGCCTCCACTAACACTGTTAAGTTTGTATTGAGGACAAATGTCATAATACAAAACACTCTTTCCTACTACAGTCACCAAATTAAAAGAGAAGAATTCAGCCCATTTGAAAGTAAATCCATTAATTACATCTAAACTTCTTATACAGTTACCAGCAAAGCAAACCCCTTCACCTGCATCATGAAGAGCAGTTCTTCCCTGGAGATCCACATTCTCTGTTGGACAATTGTACTGTCAAAATAAATAACCCAATTATCTATTAGAATTCAGACTGCATTTACAACATTGAGTGTTTGAGGTTTGTATTAAAGCAATGAAACGTGATTTAAGTAAAATTATTYAAGTTTAGAGCTCACAAATACAGTGACAGACATGAAAGCAGGAGCTCTGAGTCTGKGCACTTTAGGGCTCCAAACACATTGACCCGAAGGTGGAAAAGAAAATTAAGACTGTGCAAAGAAATTGCACAATTCATTAGACTTTTCACAGACAATGGGCCATTTATATCTGCACAGAGACACGCAGCAAATAAATTTTTAAAGAACCCATTAAAAGTTACAAAAATAATGAGCATGAACTGACCAGGAATAAACCAAGAAAAAAATAAACAGCACACAAACCTAACMCAGCCCTCCAACATTGTTTAATGAGTGTTTGTGGCTATAAACGCCTGTATTTTGAGGCAAATGCTTCTCTGGAGCAGCCAGTGTTACTGTTCCTAAATGCAACTGCACTCACACAGGGAACATCAGTCTTCCAAAGACACTCAGACCCATTTTCTTTAAGAGACACAAACTACAACTTGATTTGATTGTCTATGAAAAGATTAACAAAAAAAAAAAGTTCACTTTCTTTATTTTAGCCCTCTTTCAGTCATAACCTGGTATTTAACATGGAATTCTTTTCCCCATAACTATTATTTTTAAAAATAATCTAAATGGTTAAGAAAGCAAGCACACATTYCAGTTTTGAATCAGTGTATTTAAAACCACCTTTTCCCCCCTCAATGTAAGAGCAGTAAGACACAAGCTGTATTTTCAGTACCTGCAAGAGCTTCTGCAAACACAGGGCATGGCCATACTTTGCAGCCAAATGCAGGGCGTTTCTGCCTAAAAACAGAACAACAGCAGGTCAGGGGTTGATTTGAATGAATTTCTGATGAATATTCACAGCATTTAAGATAAAGCAGGTCCTGTGCATCAGTGCCCCCAGCACTGTTCCTTCTCTAAGTGGCATCTCCTGTCTACACCTCAGTTTGTTACAATCTTTTCTTTTTTTTAGAGAATCTTCAATCAACAATGAGAGATCATTCTTGAAATGAATCTCAAAATATTGCAGCTGACTCCACACAAGCATTTAAAAAATAAACTCTCACATGAGAGCAGGAGGCCAAGTTATCTCTGTAAATCTTGTTTTCAGCTTCATATTAAACCTATTAAATTCTGAGGTAATAATCTGAAAATTACCTCAGAAGATTCAGAGACCTGTTTTTAACTGTCTCTTCTATAAGACCTTCCACAAACTCTGCTATCACACAAGGGAATCTGGAAGTTATAGATGAACTCTGAGTTTCTGAGGCTCAGCCAGGCACACAAACACCTCCCACATCATTCCATTTGAATCCTCACCTCGAGCTCATTTTAAACTGTTCTTATCCTGTTCTCACCCAGAAATGCTGATCTCACCAGTGGGTCTGCCGCACATTATAAACACAATTACTGCAACACAAACCCACATTCCTTAAGTTCTGCTGCATTCATGAATTCCATGACAGGTCATGACCAGTTTTTTCAAGTCCAGCAACAACTCACACAAATAATCCATCTTTTGCCAGCTACAGAAAGAAGGAAGAGCTATCCTGTGGTTCAGTTTAGCTCTATTCTAGRATGAAACCCGGCTGAGAACATTTTCAGGCTGCCCCAGGTCTGTGAGGAAACCCACCTGCAGCATCAGTGGCCGTGATATCAACTCCATGCACGAGGATGGTGTTCAAGCAGTCCAGGTTTCCCTTTGATGCTACAACATGGAATCTGAAAAACAGAAAAGACCTTGCTTAGGCACAGCTGGTTTGTACACAAAAATGGCAATACTGGCAAGGAAAACCAAAGCCAACAGCTGTATAAGGAAAGCATTACAGGGGCCTGCTCTGGACAGCATCCAAAGTTAAGGGTTCTGCAGGTATTACTTCAAGGAACAAGACAATTTCCCTGAGAAACCATCATTATTTACCTGAATCAGTGAACCAGGTGAAATACCAGTGTGGTTCCAATTCTGCTTTAATATTCATGCCCAGCAAGAGCAAGTCTTTAAACACTGCCCTTCACTTGGAAGTGAAGATTGTTTGAGACTTTCCCATTCCAGCCTGCTGGATTTCTAGTGCAGTAAAGCTAGTTTAGGATGAGGTATTACAAGATTTCTGAACTCAAAAAGGCTTTTAGAGCAGCAGCAGGAGTCAGGATTTGAGTGACTTTCAGCAGCTTCCCCCACCATTCCCGGAGCTCCAGAAATCACTTACGCAGATCTCCCTTCCACATCCAGCTTTGTGGGACTGACCCCTTTCTTGGCCAGGATGGACGAGACCTTCTCCACATCGCCCCTTTCAGCTGCCTTCATGAGCCTGTCATCGTACTTGCTCCAGTCTGGGTTCAGCTGTGAGGGACAATCATAGAATGAGTTTGTGGAGCACTGCTGGGGCACCTTGGGCTGAGCCATAATCAAACGGGACACAACAACTCCAGCTTGGTGACACACAGCACAGTACCCATCAGGATGTCTAGAGTTATTTATCCAAGTGTGATATTCAAGGGAAGAACATCTACTGAACTGCAGAAGAAAGAAATTCAAAGTTGATTGTTTTGAATTGCCTGCAATGCCCAAAGCACTGCAAAGGGCAGAGAAAGGACAAGTCAGTTATAAATAGACCACCACCCATTCAGCCCCAGACAGTCATCAGACCCCACTCATCCCTTGTTTACTTCAAATTTAGAATTTCAGGCCCCAGGCCAAGCCTCTMACCCCAAAATGCAGAGCTTGTTCTCTTCCCTGCCAAACCATCCCTTCTGAATGGTTCTGGGCTTTTCAGGAAACTGGTCTGTGACAGAAACCTCACATCCAAGACGGACACTGATGACTTAATAAGCTTTTCACAGAAGAACAAGGYTTCCAAAGGAGTATCACACTCAAAAAAAGGAATATCATATTCAAATGTAACTCTGAACAGCAAAAATATTTGCTGTTAAAGGTAAGACACAAGCAACCTGTGGGTACATGAAGTTATTTTCACTGTGGGTCAGAGGTTCCACATCTCAGCAGATAAAGAACATTAAACCAGGTAATCCCAGCCCGGGGTTTGTTTAAGTTAAAGAGGATACAGTACACAAAAAAGAGAACCCAAAACCCTGCCACCACGWGCATCTGTCCTGTCATGCTTTGTAAAAGGGAGCTGCACTGATTATCAGAGCAGACTGAGAGGGGATCCCATCAATTCATACAAACATCTCCAAGGGGTGTCACAGGATGGTGCCAGACTCTGTTCAGTGGCACCCAGAACAATGGCCAGAAACTAAAWCACAAGGACTTCCACCTCAACGTGAGGAGGAACTTCTTTTCATGAAGGTGGCAGAGCACAGGAACAGCTGCCCAGGGAGGATGTGGAGTCTCCCTCCTGGAGACACCCCAAACCCACMTGGACACGTTCCTGTGTCACCTGCTCCAGGTGACCCTGCCTGCACAAGGGGGTGGCCTGGAGGCTCTCCAGAGGGCCCTTCCAGCCCTAACGACTCTGGGTGATTATCTCTACTTCGCTTTCTCACAACAAACAAGATTACAGTAATCATGAAGGCTTAGCAGCAGCTTACCCAGTCCAACACTGCTAGAAGTGACAGGAGTAATAAAAATAGAGCACTAATGAAATTAGCACCAGCACTGCCCCATGAGGTGCAGCACTGACTCATCAATCAATTAACACATCCATCATCCTGAAAGCCAAGGCAGCCTGGCCTGAGAAGTCACCGCACTGGTGACATCACCAGGGCCGTGTCCCTCCCCAGCCTGGACACGATGCCCTGCAGAGCCATCTCCTCGTGCAAGGCTTAGCTTTTCATGTCAAATACTTAKAGAGCACGCATAGACAGCATCAAGCTCTGTGCTCCCATCTTTACAGGACGGAGATCTCACCTCGGATGTTCACACTGGGTTCAGATTGCTGGGTTGTATCTTTGCAGCTGATACCTGTCAGCACAAACTCATCCAAACTTACAGAAAATCCTCCCAAATCTTCTCCAGCCAGTCCTCCCTCCCATTTCATAGAACTTCTGATTAACAGAAGCATTACACAAAAAAATAACAGACTAACAAATCCATCATCTTCATATTTTTCCCTTTTTGATATAACACTTCMAGAACTTGTATCCATGGCCTATGATGCACTAAATTTACACGGGACTGGAGCAAATCCCACTGCCAGAGGGCAGGTTTAGATGGGATACTGGGAAGGAATTCCTCCCTGTGAGGATGGGGAGGCCCTGGCACAGGGTGCCCAGAGAAGCTGTGGCTGTCCCTGGATCCCTGGCAGTGTCCAAGGCCAGGTTGGACAGGGCTTGGAGCACCCTGGGATAGTGGAWGGTGWCCCTGCCCATGGCAGGGGGTGGATGGGATGAGCTTTAAGATCCCTTCCAACCCAAACCCCCCTTCCATCATTAAATCATTTTACAGTTAGCAAATGCATTTCACATTTAAGGAAAAATGCTCACAGGAAGAGTTGCTAAGGAGAWACAACACTCATTAATTAAACAGAACCGCTACACCACATTTACACAATTTAAGCTTTCACATTTTTTGCAACTGTAAATTATTGCCAAGATATGAAACGTCAGATACAGCTCTAGGACCTCTGATACCTACTGTGTCTTTGGCTGCACAAGAGAACCAACAAATCATGCTGAACYCGCAGCTCGTGCTTCCAGGAGCGATCAGTTCCCGTCACATCAGCTCACGGCGCCCCGAACCGAGCTCACAGCGAGGAACGGCTCCTCTGCACCGCCCGGGGCTCCTTCCGCTACATCCTTCACTTAGCTCGGCTCCCCRAGAATATTTTCCCCATCTTCAGCATCATCTTCAGCCTTCATAACTCTGGGAAAGCTGGCTGGCCGGAGGAGCMGCGTGTGCGGCCGCGCTGCCCGGAGCCCGGCCAGAGCCGCGGTGTGTGCCGGACACACGGACTGGGCTCGCAGGGAAATACTGCCCCAAGCCCAGGATCTTGTAAACAATACGTGGCCAGTCTCATCAGCCTGATCTATTTTCTGATAAGGCAGTACTTGATAGGCAGGCGATAGAAAGCAATAGCTATTAATACATTCCCGGCGTGCCCGGGCCCTGAGTCACGGTGGCAGGGTGTGTGAACTCAGGGGACAGGCACGTCCCCAAGCCGCCGGGGTTGTTGTGCTCTGCAGACGGGCAAACACTCACTTAGAATAACAAACACGCTCCTCACATTCACTGTGCACTGACATGAAGGAAGGTCACACTCAGCACCACTAATAACACACGAGGACTGAAATACTCCCAGGAGTAATTTTTTCCCCATTCCACCGCGCCACAAAGCTGAAACCAGACTCAGGCTCAGACTTCAGACAGTTACAACTGCGGAGCAGATGGAATGCGTGATCTTATTTTGACAGAAATGTAACCCATTTTAAATTAGAAAACACACATGCCTCTGCTTTTAAAAAATTCTCCTTTTACAGCACTGAAACCCTTTCTGAATAGAACCTGGTTTCAGCTTACTGCTGCTGCCAGTCTGTCTCCCAACATGTGAAATGAGAGGAGTCACAGAGGCTGTGAAAACATTAAATAGACAGCACAATGATTAACGGGAGGGAGATGGAGAGTCCCCTTTCACAAGTTTTAAATTTAAATGGAGATCTCCCAAGTGCCATATTTAGAGGAGTAGGTCAACAAGACAAGCAATGCACTGTTTTGTCTGCAGGAGAGAAACCTGGTCCAGGGCCAGGAAAACCACTTACACAGACCCTGGAGGACACACACGAGAGGCTGCAAATAACCTAATAAATGGATCTCCTCAGTCGAGACTTTTCAAATCACTCACTCAGACTGGGGCAAATTCTCTCTTTCCCAGTGAGGTCTGAACCATACCCCATCCCCTGCCCTGAGCACCACTCTTTGCCCCACAGTACCAACATTCCCCAAAGAATGTTCCAATACCTCTCTACAATTAGCATCCATGTGACAAAGCCACTCCAAAAAAGTGCAGTGACTATGCTGTCTTCTGACCAGAACTGAGCCTGTCTCCTCAAGTTAAAAACAGTTTTTTTGGGGGGAGAAATAAATACACCTCCCAAGTGGCAACAACAGAAAAGCCTCACTCATCCAAAATCAGTTTGGTGAGAAATGTAGGTAAGACTGTGGCTTGCAGGTATACAGTCTCCTCCAAAATATTTATCCCAAAGGTTTTCCTTTTCTCCATGTGCCTGCAGATATTCCTTGTGCCGCCAAGCTACATTTATCCTGCAGCCTCTTGTGCTGCAGATGCTGAAACAGCCCTGACCACAAGATTTAGAATTGCTAAACCACATTGCCCAGCCCTGCCYAGYTCCAGCCAGGCACAGTGCAGCTACCATGGCTCCATCAGCACCGRGCAGCTTCAGGAAACACAGCCCAGCTACAAACCCCATGGATTAAAYGTTCTCCAAGGCAGCTGAATCCAGAGAGCTCAAACGGTAGAATGGACTTAAATGTGCTCGTGGTTTAGAGTAACCAAAGGTTGGAGCCTAATTCAGACTTCGTTTTCCAAAATTAAGACCAGAAACATCATCAGACCCCAGCAGAGCAGATCTCTGGAGGTGCKACATCACCCTCCACACCACAGATGCCTGGCCAAGGCTGATATTGCTCATTTTCTGTTAACACAGAGCACCTGTTTTCCTAAGCTCAGCYTGCCAGGAATTCTTCCCAGCTCCCGGCCTCCAAGGAGAAGGAGGATCCCACCTCCGCCCTGAGCTGGGATCAGGAGCCTGTGCGGTGTGCTGTCAGTGTGAGGCTCTCTGGAGCAGACACTGCGGGTGTGTGCAGGCTCTGYGCATCCATCTGGGATCAACGCCTCCGGCAAACACACGGTGCCAGCAGCCTGCTCAGAGACACAACACAAACCCCACAGGCACGGGAGACTCCTCCAAACACCCTCCTGGCTCTCAGTGAATGACAAACTTCCTGAGCTGAAAAAATTGCACTGTTAACCTCCCCAGTTCCTCCTCAAGTCCAGGATGTGTTGAGCATCCTTGACACCCTCTGGTAAGAAACTRTACAACAGGAGTGACAGGATAAGGGGGAATGGCATCCCACAAAAAGAGAAGAGCTTTAGGTTGGTTTGGAGGAAATTCTTCCCTGTGAGGGTGGGGAGRCCCTGTCACAGGRTGYCCAGAGAAGCTGTGGCTGTCCCTGGATCCCTGGAAGTGTCCAAGGCCAGGTTGGATGGGGCTTGGAGCAGCCTGGGACAGTGGAAGGTGTCCCTGCCCATGGCAGGGGGTGGGACTGGATGAGCTCTAAGGTCATCTAACCCAGTTTAGAAATACCACCTGTAACTCAAAGCAGCTCCTAAGCCCTTCACAGAGAACTGGGATAAAGCTGTGAAA